CCAAGAACATACACTGGGGAAAGGACAGCCTCTTCAATAAATTGTGATGGGAAAACTGGATATCCATGTGCAGAAGAATGAAACTAGACCCATACCTCTTGCCATATTCCAAAATCAACTCAAAGTGTATTAAAGACAAATATAAGACCTGAAACTATGAAAGTCCTAGAAGAAAACAAAGAGGAAATGCTTCTGAATGTAGGACTAAGCAAAGAATTTATGAATAAGTCCTCAAAAGCACAGGCAACAAAAGAAAAAAAATAAACAAATAGGATTACATCCAACTAAAAGCATTCTGCACAGCAAAAGAAACAATCATCAGAGCAAAGAGAGAACCTACAGAATAGGAGAAAATATTTGCAAACTATACATCCATCAAGGGATTAATATCCAGAACGAACTCAAACAACTTAACAGTAAAAAAACCAATAATCCGATTTTAAAATGGGTAAAGGATCTGAATAGACATTGCTCAAAGGAAAACATACAAATGGCCAACACACACATGAAAACATTCTTAACATCACTAATCATCAGGGAAATGCAAGTCAAAACCACATTGAGATATCACCTCTTCCCTATTACACTGACTATTATTTAAAAAGACAGAGAATAACAAATGCTGGTGAGGATGTGGAGAACGGGGAACCCTTCCACACTGTTGGTGGGACTGTAAATTAGTACAGCCATTATGGAAAACAGTATGGAAGTTTCTCAAACACCTGCAGATAGAACTGCCATATGATCTAGCTATCCCACTACTGGGTATACACTCAAAGGAATGGAAATCATCATGTCAAAGACATACCTGCACTAAATATAAATGAGTTATCAAGCCATGGAAAGACATAGAGGAAATTTAAATGAATATTACTAAGCAAAAGAAACAGTAGTAGTCCATTTCTGTTGCTCATACCTGAAACTTGGTAACTTATAAGAAATGAAATTTGTTTCTTACAGTTTTAGAGGCTGGGAAGTCCAAGATCCAGGGGATCATATCTGGTAAGGGCCTTCTTCTGGGTGGAAACTCTCTACATGGTCCTGTGGTAACCATGGTGTCACACGGCAAAAATGGGCTGAGCAAGAGAACTAACTTTCTCACTTGCCTCATTTTAAAGCCATCAGAACCATGCCCATTACTCCATGAATGAATCAATCCATTCTCAAGGCACAAACCTCACAATCTAATCACCTGTGAAATGACTCACCCTTCAAATATCATAATTGGACTTCCCACCCTCTTAACACTGTTACAATGGGGATCAAGTTTCCAATACATGAACTTTTGGAGGATGCATGTAACCCACAGCAGAAGCCAATCTGAAAAGGATATGATATCAACTATATACATCCTGGAAAAGGCAAAACTATGGAGACAGGAAAAAATCAGTGGTTGCCAGAAGTTAGAAGGGGAGGGGCGGGAGGGGAGAATGAACACCTGGCACACAGAGAATTTTTCCAGCAGTGAAACTACTGCGTATGATAGATACTACAATGGTGATACATGTCACTATATGTTTGTCAAAACCCATAAAAATTACAACACCAAGAATGAACCCTAATGTAAACTATTGTCTTTGGGTGATAATGATGTGGCAATGTGGGTTCATTGGTTGTAACAAATGTATCACTCTGGTGTGGGATTTTGATAGTAGGGTAAGCTGTGCATGTATGGGGACAGTGGGCACATGGGAATTCCCTGTACTTTTTATTTAATTTTGCTGTGAATCTTTTATTTATATATAGAAACATAATTGATCATGGGGTACAGCATTGAATATCAATACCTGTGTGCAATATGTGATGCTCAAATCAGGACAATTAGTATATTCATCATTAAACAATGTAATTGTTTACCCTTTACCAATTTCTTGATAATCCCCTTCCCCCTCTCCCTTTCCCACCTCCAGTGGCCTCAGTTCTGCTCTCCCCTTTTGAAAGTTCAATCAATTATTGTGATTATTTTATCTTCCTTTATTTATTTTTGTTTATTTTTTAAGCTCCCACTTATAAGTGAGGTCATGCAGTATTTCTCTTTCTGAGCTTGGCTTATTTCACTTAACATAATATTCTCCAAATTCACCCATGGAAAGGAAATCATCATGTTAAAGGGATACCTGCACTCCCATATTTGTCACAACTTTATTTACAATAGCCAAGAGTGGGAACCAACCTAAATGTCAACCGACGGACAACTGGATAGGGAAAATGTGGTATATACACAATGGGATATTACTCTGCCACAAAAAAACAATGAAATTCTGCCATTTGCAGCAACATGCTGTGAATCTAAAACTGCCCTAAAAAAATAAAGTTTATCAATTTTGAAAGAAGTAGAATAACTAGAATATAGCATGCTCTAAGACTGCTCTCTTGGGGTCATGTGTTAAAACAAACCTCTACAAAGAAAACACAGGGCCAGAGGTCCCTCACATTCAGTAGGAATCTACTGTCTGTCTACCACATGCCAGCACCTGTGGCTTTCAAGAAGAAGCTCCATAAGGAAGAAAAGGGGACCAAAGAAGCCTCATCAATTTAAAACAGGAATTTGGGCAAAGAAAAGCAACCCAGGTTCTAGTATAGAAATAGTACTTTCCTTGATGAAGTTTTTTCACTGATCAAGAGCCATCAGGTAGTTACTGCTCTTTGAATAAGCTTTCAAAGAAATACATAGAAACTTGCAGAATATAAATCTTTTGTATTCTGTAAGCCTCCATTTTAAAACTCAAATAACCTCAAAAGTGTCCTAAGCCATGACAGCAGGGACATGAAAAGATATTTGTACACCCATGTTCATACAAGTGTTATTCACCATATTCAAAAGGTGGAAGCAACCCAAGTGTCCATTGATTTATGAATGGGTAAGCAAAATGTGGTATATACATGCAATGAACATTATTCAGTCTTTAAAACAGAGAAAATTCTGATGCATACTACAGTGTGGATGAGCCTTGAAGACATTAAGCTAAGTTAAATAAGCCTATCATAAAAGGACAAATACTATATGATTCCACTCCTATGAGGTACTCAGGGTAGTCAAAATCATAGAAACAGAAAGTAAACTGATGGTTGCCAGGGATTGGGGGTAAGGAGAATGAGTAATTATTGTCTGATGAGTAAAGAATTTCAGTTTTGCAAAATGAAAAAAAGTTCTGTGGATGAATGGTGGTGATGGTTGCGTAACAATGTGAATATATATAATGCCACTGAACTGTGCGTTAAAATGGTTAGAATGGGGGGCTGGCTGGTTAGCTCAGTTGGTTAGAATGTGGTGCTAATAACAACAGAGTTCAATCCCTGCACTGGCCAGCCGCCAAAATAAATTATCTTAATAAAAATAAAATGGGTAAAATGATGAATTTTGTTATGTATATTTTACCACAATTTAAAAAGATAACTTTAAAATTTGTGTCCTAATTCATGTGGGACTCTCAAAGAGGCTATTGGTGTTAAAAGATAAAAGAAAGATTTGTGTTTTGTGTTCCATGAAGCTTAGGGATTGGAGTAAGAGATTAAAGAGAAACAATTAATGAACACATCTGAAAACAGGTAAGTTTCACACAAATATATGGATTTTTATTGACACATGATATTTTCTTACAGTAATAAATATAATGCAATCTTCTTAGGATTCATTTGGAGTTGGGAAGGCAGTGATAGTAGTCAGACTTGTGGTACCATGTTCTCAGAGCTGCATGTCAGAGAGGACCTGTGTGTTGCCCAAAAGTCACTCAGATATGTGCAATATCTGCATCAGCCCAGATGCTTCTCTTCACACTGTAAAGGTGATTTGTGATCCCTGGTCAATATCACCCTAGGTTTTCTTCCCCCCCATTTTAACAAATCATAAAAATAGCTAGTACCATAAAAAGTCAACATTTCAAATATAAAAATTCTTTTATACAAATATAATTCATGATAAAATCATTCTCAAAATACAGCATTGCTACATATGAGTTTAAAACATTATTAAAATAAATATATCCTAGAGAAAATTTCATTTTCATCACAAAATTATAAAACAGATGCATATAAAACTAATTCATGATTGACTCTTCTTCAGGGGGTCTCCTATTCTCTCTCCTACTCAGTGTATCTATCCACAGTGCCCATGACCTACCTACCTACACACTCTCTACCTGGTGCTTCTGTGGTGAGAAGGGTCTTCCTGAACCAATTTGCCCTAGCACACTTTTCTAGCCATTGTCCAGTTCAGAGGTCTTATGAGCTTAGTGCTTTCTAGAGGCTGGGGAAAGGTATGTCAACTACCACATAAAGGGAACTATCCTGTCTCCTATGTGGGATTGTAACAACCCTTTTCCCAGATAAGGGATGTATTCTGATAATATGAATTATTTAGATTTCTGGTAGAGCTGGACAGTACTAACCCTGATTTCCAGAATCTAGAAGTTCTCTTTCCTGACTGATCCCTAGATGTTGAATGGGGCATATTTTGAAGAGCCATCTTGTGACTCCTGCAGCATTCTAATATTTGCTTAGAAATGAGACAGCCAGAATGCTTAGCAGACAATATAGTTGTGTTTCTAACTATCTTGGTGAGAGGAAAGAAAAAGGGATATAAATCTACATAAACTTCTAAAGTTTCCAGTTATCGTTAATCATTTCTCTAAGTAGTACGATTTCAGTTCTTCTCCAATGATACAAATTAACAAGTTTCACTAAAAAATAAGCTGAACAACTAAACTGGTTGACATTTATAGCTGCCCTTCCAACTACTACCAAAGGGCAAGGGTTTTCAGGAAAATCTGGCTGGTGAAACAGAAGTGGTAAATCTTCATGGATTTGAAGTACCTTTCACCATTGCCAAGAAGCTATTTAGCCAGTCCCGTATGAACGTCCTCAATTCCTTTTACCAAAATGTTTCTTTTTTTTCTTTTTCTTTTAAAAATCATTATTTGTTTTTGTTTTCTGAGGCAGAGGCAACTATTCTTCTTACAACTCCATGAGCAAATGTCCCATGCAAACGTCTGCACTGCTCTTTAAAGCCGTGTTTCTTGCACCTCTTCTTCTGTCTCCTCCTTCAGAGCAGCGATTTGGGATCGAGACTTGTGCTTGCTCGAGTTCCGGCGAGGCAGAAGCTTCACCCTGTCCGAGGAGCTGATGGCCTGCTGGAAGACGCTCTTCTCACTCAGTAATTTCTGGATAGAATCATACTGTCGCACTTTGTTGTCTTCTATGACCTAGGAAAGTACTGTTAATGAGATCTCAGACAGAAGGCAGGTCGGACCAGAACACAGACAGAAACTAGCATAGGGTCAAAGGAAAATAAAAGCCAAAAAAACAATCAACCCCCCCCCCCCCCCAAACAAAGCCATAGCATCCAGAGCCTTGCATTTTAAACAGTCAGGTATATCTCATTTAACTGCGGTGTCCTCTTGCTTTAAGGAGGTTCTACCACCTGTGAAATTATCTGTAATTTTCTATGTAGCAGCAGGAAGATTTTGGGCGCAACACTGAGGGTTGCGATCCCGTTACCGGTCAGTAAAAAAAAAAACAAAAAGGAAAAAAAAAACCAAAAAAAAAAACCACCCCCCCCCCCCCCAAACAAAGCCATAGCATCCAGAGCCTTGCATTTTAAACAGTCAGGTATATCTCATTTAACTGCGGTGTCCTCTTGCTTTAAGGAGGTTCTACCACCTGTGAAATTATCTGTAATTTTCTATGTAGCAGCAGGAAGATTTTTTAAAAAAAATTATTATGGTACTGGACAACACACTTCTTTAGGGAACTTTAGAGGAACTGAGGGCGCTTTGGAAACAAGAAGGATTAATGTTAGATCCCTTAGATATTATCCTAAAAATGGGTAGAAGTCCACCTCACCATAAAAAGTTGAACCTCTTCCAACAGTGGTGGATCTGAAGCTTAGAAATTTCAAACTGAAGAGGATATGCCTAAGTTTAATATGCCTCCTTTGCATGTCAAAGTTGAGCAAACACGAGGCCAGAGGACAGAGGGCTTTAACCAACCTCCTGAACTTATCCATGGCAGGGCAAGAGGTTGTCAGTCTGTCCCCATAATCTGTCACTTCAAACTTAGTAATAATAATGGTAATAACAATCTTTCGGTAAGGAAGGCGTTTACCTCCAGGAGGCTCAAAAGCCTTAACAGAAATGACCTGATACATCATCCTCTGAACTTCCTTATGACTAAACCAGGGGGAATTTGTAAACATCACTTGAAGGAATCTGTGACAGTTTTGAAAGCACAATGGTTCAGAGAGGCACTGACCAGAGCTCCAAATAATGACTAGGAAAATGAAATGAGCCCCTCAACTACAAAATTAAAACCGTAAGTCAGATTGTAAGACGACCAAGCCTGTTGGATCCCATCCAAGGGAGATTTAGTTATTGAAAGAACCAGAAAAACTTTTTTTTTCTTTTTTTTTAAGTAGACTATTTTTTATGATTTGGTCACCAAATAAAGGGCTCAAAAATATAGGTAACCAATTTATTAATGTAACTTAGTAATATGCTGCTATTTTAGATTTAATGAATTTCAATCTCGCCTTATAGTTCAAAGTGAAAAACTTGTGCAGCTATTTTGAGTAAAGCTGGATGGACGTATGTCACATGTTTTAAGGAAGAATGTGTACATTGCTGCAGTTTACAGTAACTATCATGTATGAGATTGCTATTAAGAATGACAAGGGAAAAGAGATCTTGAGTAAATTTATAACGACTCACCAAAAATCGTTGACATTCCAACATTGCTTCTATCCTGTGTTCAGAGAGGATTACTGTGCAATCAGCAAATGCTTGTTTTAAAGTTCTTCGAATTATTTGGTATGTTCTAGAAAAGAAAGAAAATACCACATATAACATCAGAGAACTGCCTTTATTCTTGATAATATGCCTATTGTTCTATCAATTTAGTTCTTTAAATTAATTCTTTCTTTAAATACTTTTAACGTAATCTTGATACAGAGTTAGTCACAGTCAGCCTATCAGCCATGGGGTAGATTCTAAGTATCTATAAATAAATAGAAGAGAAATATTTTGAATAAAATTTCATAAATAAGTACATTTTATCATTATGTAGAATCACCAGTAGTTCACTATTTTACATAAATATGTTTATGGAATAAATGGGATATAAACAAAAATCATAAGGATTAGATTATGCCCATGTAACTAAATATTTCATCATGTTTTGACAGGGGGAATAGTTTATATGAAATTCCAAACTACACTCGAAAGAGAACACAGGCCTCTTATACAGGGTAATAAGCATTTGTAGTCATGTCAAATAGTGACTTTTCCTCAGTGCAATTATTTCATGTCTGGAGGAAGTCCCCCACTTGCAGACATGTCAGCCTAATGGAAGTTTGTGTCAATATGAAGTAGGTCTCAATGATTCTGCTCCCCTATGCTATTAACTAAAAGGATTTCTGAAACTCACATTGGATCCAAATGAGCACTGGGTTCATCAAGCAGCAAGATCTTTGCCTTACTGAGGACAGATCTGGCCAAGCATATCAACTGCTTGTGGCCATGGCTCAGGACATAACCCCCATCAACAAGGACAAAATCAAGCCTCCCAGGAAACTGTTCTATCACAGATCTGAGTCCAACCTGCAGAAAAGAAAGAGGGAAAACACTGTTCATAGAGAAGGTAGTTCAGATACCACATGGTTAAAAACACTCAAGAGGCTGACGATCTAAAAATAAACATAGGTATTCTGAAGGCTTAAATTTCCTATCAACCCCCACCCCAACTCCCATTATTTGAGTTTGTTTGAGCAATAGTCTATTTATAATCTTGGCAGCTATAAAAGATTAGTCTATGACTTGTTATAGCTCTGTACTTCATTCATTCAGAAAACTTTCAATGAGTACCTATTCTGTGACAGGTACCTCAACAGGCATTGAGGAAACGATAAAGAGCACATAGTTCCTGCAAGGTTTAGGGTTCATAAAGCCATATATTAGTACAGTCATGCACCACATAACAATGTTTCATTCAACCATGAGCATGAATATGATGGTGGCCCCATAAGATTATAATGGCTATACCATATAAACTGAGTGTGTAAATAGGCAATACCGTCTAGGTTTGTATAAGAACACTCTATGATGTTTGCCTAATGACAAAATCACCTGACGATGCATTTCTCAGAACATATCCCCATTGTTAAGTAATGCATGATTGTATTTACAATACAATTGAATATATGCTGGAAAAGATAATATGTATAGAATGCAATTATTTACTCCATCATGACATCCTGTGTAGATCGTAGAGGACAGAAGGTAGCATAAAAGGGGAAAGATATGACACGGCACCATACTTCCCATCGTTTATGCTACCTGCCATCCTCTACTCTGACATAATAGAGGATGAAAGATTTCATCAAGAATCAACTGGGGAGGTTTTCAAAATTACATATGGCAACTCACCTACACATCTTTTCAATTCATGAAAACTGTAAGAAATTGGTAAAACTATGAAATTTTTTTTTAAATGGAGTTAAAATAGTGATGTATTACCATGGGATTTAAAGACTCTTAAATATTGGGCTATAGATTATAAGGGTCAATGGCTTATTTTTTTAAGCTGGACAGAAATAAAGAAAAGTTTGTAAATGTAAGTGAAATACAGAAACCTATGCTATTAAAATAAGACAAAAATTACTGAAGTCTTGGGCTCTTATCATTTATTCAAATAAATGTGCATTAAATGTTTATTTTTTGCCAAGTACTACTGAGTGTATAAAGGCTAAAGAGATATATAGAAGACTGTCTGTAGCCCTTGAGGAGTCTGGAATTTAATATGAGGATGCAAGATGTGCTCCCACTGAACTCTAATATAGACAGAATGAGATAACAGCCTTCAGAAAGAATCTTATGTTTTCAGAAATGAATTCAGAAATGGCCCATATCACTGTTTTGTTTCAGCAAAAATGAACTGTGTGTCCATCGTGTACATTGCAGATAATTCTCCATTTCTTGACTGGTTTCTCATTAATCTTACTTTGTGAGAATTCATTAAAGTTTGAAAAGGGTTTCTGAGATAGTAGGGAATGTAAACACATTAATTAGACAAGGGGGATTACTCTGATGTGTCCCTGAAGACTCAAACATAAAACTACTCTGGGACGCAAGAGAATGTGAATAAAGGACATTGGGCAGAGAGTTAGGAGACCTGTGTCTTTGTCTTCAACCTCTTGCTCTTTATTGTTTCAGCCTGTGAATGAATCTGCTATGGTATTTCCCTTCTTAAAACAAAAAGACAACCCTTCTCTTGCCTCCAGGTTCTCCTTTAGCCATCACTCAACATTTACCCACTTTTTTACCTAGAAATCTCAAAAATCAGTATACATCTGTTGTCTCACTGCCTAATAGCACAGAACATTTTTTCTTCCTAAAACACCTGTTCCTTAGCTTATGAGAAACTACACACTCTGTGACCATAACTTCCTATTATCTCTTCCTGTCCCTTGAATATTAGTTTTCTTCACCCTGAATTCTCCAAACTCTCCACTGAGATCTCAGTCATTTTTAGGGTATCAATGACCACCTATAAGCTAATAATTTTCAGATCTTTATCTCCAGCCCTGGACTTCTTCCAACTACTTCTTAAATCCTTCTCCTTTTTGCCAGCCCTATGAAAGTAACCCTAGTTTGGGCCATCATCATCTATTAAGCATAATCTTACAAATTCCAACTGGTCGAATTATCAATCCACCACACAAACACACCAGGGATCTTCCTAAAATGCAGGTCTGACCATATCATCTCTGTTTTAACTCCTGTGGTAGTTCTCTTCCTGGTAGAATAAAATCTGAGCTCTTTGACATGGCATATAAGGCATCCAGAATCGAGCCCCCTACACTCATTCCCAGCAGCTCCAAACAGCATGTCTTTCCCTATATACCTCATATTCTCAGGATTGTGCCATTACTCAGCCTGGAGTATCCTGGATATCCCTGATCATCCCTTAAGGAAGTCAGACACCAAGTCATGGTAATACTTCTGCAAATTTCCCATGTTAAACTGTAAGTTTTTTGAGGGTAAAGAGGTGGTCTTCAGGTCTGTGTCCCCAGTGCCAATGCTGGACATATTGTCAGCCTCAACCCATTCATTCATTCTTTCACCAAATATGAGCTCCTAGAATGCTGGTGGTCAAACAAAAGAAACAGAAGTTTGAAGAATGATAAGTGAATCAAAACTTAAGGATGAATGAATGATTGCTGGTTTTAGTTATGCCATTACAGAGTATGATCTGATTCATATTGCTTTGCCAGTGAGTTTTCAAGACCATATAAAGATCCTCCAAAACTCAAATTACAAAATTAGAAGTTCCCTAACACTGGCAGAGATGTCAGTACTTTATATCAGATCAATCGGCAGCATTTGAAGATTTTCTTTTTTTAGTTAAATTAACCATCAAGAAAAGTCTTTGTTAAAAACTAGAGCTCTGAAGTCAAACAAATGGCTTTTGAATACACGCTCCTCTGCTCATTTACTGATTATGTCAGGTGTGTTACTTTACATCTCATTTACTTCATATGGAGGTCATAATAGTATTGATGTTAAAGGGTTGTTATGAGGATTAAATGAGACAATCTGTGGAAAGAAGCTGCCACAAAGTACGGCACATGGTAAGCATGTAATACATGGTAACAATTAGCATTGTTGGAGACTGGAAAAACTCAAGGCCATGGGCTCGGTTACTAAAACACTGTCCTAGTGCGACAATAAGGTTTGTAAGATTTTCCATTCCCAAGTTGCCTTGAGAAGTAAGATAGCAGGAAGTACTGCAATACTATTAAGTTAAACCATACTCATAGTAACAGGGTTGACATTTTGGTAAGAATGTAGTATTCTCCCTCTAGATTCATACCAATCGCACAATAATCTCCTAAGACCATACTAGGAAAGCTACTTTACTGTGTTATACTTTGCACTTTCCTGTGATAAAAGCAAACTGTGCTTTTCCTCAGATGAAACTCTTTACTACAAGTAAATAATTAAATACTTAAATATATATCACTGTCAATATTTAGAGAACAGAATTTTAAAATGAATGACAGCAGGACTGACTAATGTAGGGGGTATTTTGCAACATTTCTATCTCACTGTTTTATTCACTATGAAGTATAGTAAAAATCTTGTACAATCATATTCACTAGAGAAAGGTCAATATAAACTAGTAAGACTAAATTTTGAAGTCAATGCACATTTCACAAACTTATTAAGTACCTGTTTTCCGCCAGATATTGTGATAGGATTTGGATAGAAAATAGTAGATAGACTAGCAATTGTTTTTGAAAAGATACAGTTATTGTTACCAAGTAATATGTGCTGCTAGGAATGACTGCTTAGTTATGTATTCCTTCAAAAGATTCTTAATGAGAGTTTATTAAATTCTAGGTACTATGACAAACCTGGGAATTCAAAGATGAATAACACAGGCCCTGTCTTGAAAGAACTCATGGTCCAGATGGGGAGAAATACAATAAGAAGAAAATTGCTGTTCAAAAAGGTAAGTGCTATGAGCACAGACACACACAAGAAAAGACAATGAAATTGCTACAGAGATCATCTAATTTAGTGATCTTTTGCAGCAGAATCTTTTATACACACACACACACGCACACACACACACACACACACACACACACATATGAGGATACTTCAAAGAGTTCATGGAAAAATAGAATTAAAAGATAATCCTTTTTTTTCCAGCAAGATGGCTGACTAGAGGCAACCAGCCCTTGCTTCTAATGCAAAAAGTCCAAAGCAACAAGGAGATAGTCACCTGTAGACTGTCTAGGAGAAAACAATGGAATCCAGCAAAACAGTGAAGGAAAACCCCCCAAATGACCAGAAGAGAGGAGATCAAATGTGCACATCACAAGGAAATGATTAAGTTTTGCACTGATGAATAGGTTAATTACTCTGAATAGGTCAACACACATTGCATAAACATATTGAAATATAACTCTATACCCATAAATATGTATAATCAATGTTTTAACAAAAAAATTTTAGACAAATAAATAAATAAAATCTCTAGCAGGAGATTATGCAAACCGTATACACACACAAAAAGGATAATATGAATCTTTCCATGAACTTTTTGCCGTACTCTCATAAACATATATATCCCCAATATGATCTTATTAATACTGTCATCACAAACCATTTTTCAATATATTAAAAATAAACTTTAGCTCAGTCTTGTCCAAACTAAGATAAACTCAAAATTACTAGAATCTAAACTTTCCTAATTATTTTCATTCCAACCTAGCATTAAAAAATTTTTAAATAAACTCATCAGCAATTTGTGAATATAAAGAACTTTAGGATATAAGAATTTGTCAGCTTTATGCTACTGAGCTGACAAATCGAATGTACTTCTCAAAGTGCTATTAAGAAACAAGAAATTTTATTTTGTGACATATCAAACTAAAAAATGCCTAACAGTCTGTAAAGCACCAGGCATTTTGTTCAAAATGTTGACTTTTGCTATTGCCGCACTCTGGAATGTTGTTATGGCGCAATAGTTTGCTCTCATGACAAGGAAACATGAAAAAAATCAGAGAAGTGAACTGTGGTTTGCCTGAATAGTCCATTAGTGGGCGGTTATAAAAATAGACGCTCTCAACTCCTTTTGACACTCTTTTGCTCCTCTGCAGCTTTTCCAGGGCAAATTGTCAACTTAAAAGACCACTGTTTCTGCTATTTTAGCTGGCTCTCTAAAATGTCTTACCCGACTATCACTGTGTAAGGATGGAAACCATTTTATAACTAATCTAAAAAGCAAACAGTAACCAAAAAAGCCTTCATTCTAAAACAAACAGACATGGTGCTTATATTATGGAGGACGCTGAGAGAGCTTGCGGGGTGAAACAGCTTGTGAACCAGAAGTCAGAGATGCAGCTCTGTTCCTGCACCCACCAGTATTCTCAGCCAAGGCTCTGAGACTCCCCAAGGCTCAGTAGCCTCATTACTAAAATGGGAGTGGTAATGCCTGTTCTGTATCAATCACAAGGCTGTTTTCATGATATATTACACAAGAAATGAAAGAATCCTTTATTCACCCATTCATTCAATCAATATTTATTGAACACCATCCACATGGCCACCACTGGAAATACCATAATGACTAGGACATGATCCCTGCCCTCACAGAACTTACAACTCAGTGAGGGACATGGACAGGTTAAGAAGCCAATCGCTATCCAGCGTGAGGAATATATTGAAAAGGGGTGAAGGTATAGGGTATGCCTAAGAAAGGCTCCTCCCTCAGAACTGCAGCATCAGGGCAGGATTCCAGGATGAACCCATGTGTAAGGAGAGGCATGAATGATGAGCAGGAGCAGGCAGGAAAGGGCTGGGAGAGTTTCCCAGGTATCCAAGACAGCATGTGAGAAAGCCTCTGGAGGACAGAAAGCATTCAGTACTTTAGAGAAACCAAGGAAATTCAGTATGGCTGAATCATGCGATGCACGGGAGACTGGGGAGTGAGCTAAGAGAGGCAGACAAAGACCAAATCATGAAGGACCTTGTAAACCATCTTAAGCAATATGGACTTTGTCCAATGTGCAGGAAGGAGCCACAAGCAGGGAAGAAACAATGTGATCAGACATGGGGCTTAGGAGGATCACCAGAGCTACAAAGAGCAGAATAAACTATAGGGAGCTAGTAAGGGAAACCAGCCAGGAACCTATTTCAGAAACCCACATAAGAGTTCATAGTGTATCAGGTGAGGATGGAGAAAAGTGAATAAATTCTAGATGTTTGTAAGAGATAGCATTGACAGGATTTGATATGTAGGGAACAGTGGACAAAACTGAGAGTCAAGGACGAGTCCCAGGTTTTGACTTTGGGCAAGTAGAGAGTGGTGATACCAGTGGCTGGATTAGGAGCACAGCCCAGGTGTGTGGGTGGGGGAGCTAGGAAGTTCTCTTATCGCCATAAGGCACTTTTCATATGCTGAGTTATCAGGTAGGGAGCTCTGGGAATAGGCAGGTCTGGGAGTCATAAACATATAGGTATTAAGAGTCAAGTGGATACATAAAATTTCTGGGAAGAATAAGTGAGACAAGAATTAGGATTCTGTCAAACAACATTGAAGTGATGGACAGGTGACGACCAGATAGAAACATGATTATAATAACGAACATTTACTTAGTGCCTATTATTTGACAGGCACTGGGCTGGGCTCATTATATGTATAAACCCCAAAAGTTACAACAACCCTACTAATTAATTTATTGGGCTACATGTTAGGGGTCCATTTTTTTTCCTGTTAGGATTCAGTCTCTTTTGAGATTCTCTTTGGTATATGCAGCTGATAACGTCATTTTGGCACAACTCCCTGGGGGCAAACTGTCTGTGCCTGAGTCGTTTGGGGATAGGAAAATTAGACCACCTCAGTTCTAGATCCTAGATAGAAACTCTTTTCTTCCTTAGCCTTGTTTTAAATTCTTCCATAGCCAAGATGAAGTTGTGGGCCTAGGGCACAAAGGGAAAGGAGGCTGTGTGGGCCAGCTTTGGTTCTAAGCCTTCGAGCTAGTAAGTAGGCACAAATCTCCATGACTTCACAAAATCTAATCTAGGTCAGCAAGGATAAGGTTCCACTCTGGAGTTTGGGGTCAAGTCCAAGCTAGAAATAAAGTGCCTCTTGGCCTGGCATTGTCATTGTGTGTATTTTTATTTCCATTTGGGAGAATGGGGAATTATGCAGGAGATACTGTTGGGATAACATTCAGGTGTTTGGTTATCTCATTACTTCATTTCCCTTTAGAGACACAAGTCACACCCAGGTCACAGAGAAGTCTAGGTGAGATTACATACACTCCAGCTTGCCCCAGACAGTCCTGCTTTACACCTTTTGTCCCAGTGTCCTTTCCAGCTTAGAATTTGACACACCCCAAAATGTTCCTGTTTGGATAAATTATATGACCAGCCATATAGAACTAAAGCCTAGGCCTTATAACTTTTAAACCCAAATCCCTTTTTCTGCTTCTCTAGGCTATTGCTTGTTTGTTTGGATTCTACTTTTGAGCCTTGTCAATATTTAAAGTACATTATATTAAAGTTACAGGAGCATCATCACTTTGTTCATGAACAGCAAATTATTAAAAAGGGGATCAGTAAAAAGATATACCTAAATATGAACTGATCAAATAAAAATTTAGACAGGTAAAATTTTTGTATTATATTATTAGTATTTAAAACCATAACCATGTCTTCTAAATATTTTAGATTATTTTATGATCCTGCTTTCCTGTAAATTTTACTCTGACCTTGTGATACTTGCCAATTTTATAAAGTCTAATGTCTTCCTTCCCAAGTTTCTCTCCCACAGCATTGTGTTCCTATAGCTCACTCTCTGAAGTTACATCAAAGATCTTAAAATGTATTACTTGCAATTTAGTTAATGTTTTCTTTAAAACCCCTGTGTTTGTTGGGTAATAAGGAAACTTTGATAATAAAAATGGTTAATCTAAGTGAATTTTATTAGGGGCATGTTAAGGTTGGGCACTCAATGGGTAAGTGTTTAACACTCACAGACATTTCAAAGCTGCTGGCAAGGTCTACTCTGAAGGGAGGCAGAAAAGGGAAGAACATTTGGGATAAACAGAAATTAGGCTGCCAACAACCAAAAGTGCAGGAAATAGAGGAATAAAATTGTTCTCTAAACAGATCTTTTAGTTTCGACAGTCTTAGGTCTCATGATTCTATTCTTCCACCATTCAGAGCTATGGAATTACACCTCAAAGTTTAACAAAACGGAACAATTTATGTTCCCTCTTTATTTAATATCATGCCTGTATTTCATGAATTATCAGTTTACAGATAGGGTACTCTGTTAAGGGAATCAAGAGTTTCAGTCTAGATCTCCCCCATCCTAAATTCCTCTGCATAATGCCTTCAATTATAATGAACCACCTGTTGGATAAGCATAGGGTGTAATTTAGGAATTTTGGTTCTATTTTAATCCATATATTTCCTCTACGGTGTCTTAATGACTTCAAAAGGTGGCATATGCTTCATCTAGGTCATGTGGCATTTTGTCTGGTAGCATTCATAGCCACATTCCCCGAAGGCAGAATACTCCTGGTGACTTCCAGAGAAGACTACAGTCATGTGCAGGTGCTCTAGTATGAGCACCATCCTTCTGCTAACACACTATTTCCCAGAGAAGCATGTCAAACAAACTAAAGCCTCCTCCTTGTGCAGTGAGAGCTTCAGTACCCAGAGAGCAAACAGATGAGAAGCTGTGGAGAGATGATTCCTTACATCAGGGATAATCCCAGTGCACTGTAGGTGTTTGGGTCTCGCTAGTTCATGTCTTACTGAATCAAATTGGTTAGGGAAGAAGGCCAAAGTAACGCTATTTGGGGGGCCTGCTATAGATTAAATGTTTGTGTCCCTCCAAATTCATATGTTGAAATCCTAAAACCCCAAGGTGATGGTATTAGGAGGTGGGGCCTTTGGGAGGTGATTAGGTCATGAGGGCTCTACCCTTGATCCATAATATAAATGTGGGTCCTTTTGAAAGAGACCCCAGAGAGTTAGCTCACCCCTTCTGCCATGTAAGGATGCAGCTAAAATACAGTCCTCTATGAGGAAGCAAGCCCTCACCAGACATTGAATCTGCCAGTGCCTTGATCTTGGACTTTCCAACCTCCAGAACCATGAGAAATAAATGTCTGCTGTCTATAAGCTACCCAGTCTGTGGTATTTTGTTATAGCAGCCAGAATGGACTAAGTCTTTACTAGTCCATTCTGGAGCCTTACTACTGAAGAGAGAGGGAGATGTCTAATCAAAAGTACTGGGTGCTCCAGGTATATAAGGGTTCTCCATTTTAAAGTTGTGTGCGCACACACACACACACACACACACACACATACAAAGGTAAATGTGTAAAATTATCTCAGCTACAACAACTATTCTGTATGTATATGAGTTACCTCATTCAAAATTATTTCAGTTAGCATCCTTACCTCATCTGCAACTTTCCATATTTCTCGATCACTCCACTGTTCATAGGGATCCAAGTTTTTTCTAAATGTTCCAGAAAAGATAAATACTTTCTACAGCAATAAAGAAAAGAAAAAGAAAGCATGAATAACCCAGATATCTTATTTATTCCCTTATTTTATTGTGAAATATTTTGAGCAGAAAAAATATTTTAAAATAATTTAACAAACACCTATGTACTTACCATCCAGTTTTCTTAAATTTTAGTATTTTATCATGATTGCTTTGTATCATTTTTTAAAGAAACAAAATAGATTAGCAACATTTGAAGCCCCTCATGAACACAGTTCTAATCCCAATGCCCTTAAGATAAAGAAATTGAGATCATTGTAAGTTGTGGGAAATTAAAAATTTTTATTCTTAGCAGTATTCCTTATTATAAGCAAATATAATATAAAATTAAAAAATTAAAAAAACAGTAAGTTTATGAGTTATAATTAACTTGTTAGAACAAATTTTCATTTTGTTAATGTATTTTCCTTGGATTTCTTTAATAAACTTAGCTTTCTAAGGGATTTTGAAATTGTTTAACTTACAGACATTTATTCAAACACAAATGTTCACCTGGTCTATTAACCGAAGCACACCTCTACATATAAGACCAGTCAGTCACAAGAAAGAAATCAGTAAAAGAGAGGAAATCAAATATTTGCTTAACTGATTGTCCCAGAAAAGAGGCAGATGTGACTGATTCTGATGAGGTGACAAAATGACAATCTAATTCTCTGCAAGGAGCATTGCACAGCTATCACTCTACGTGCCATATCACTGTCCACTTAAGTCTGCCTACAAGATTAAAAAAAAGTCTTAAAAATCACAGTCATATTGGGAAATGCTGGCACAGTAATAATAATAATATTTAGCTCTCTGTGCATATAGGTGAACTGAAAAAATATTTTTGATTAACATTTAGAATTATTTTTTCTTTGTCTTTTCTTCTTTTGCCTTTGGTTAGTAACACACACTAAGGGGAATTAAAAACTAAATTTCTTGAAGCCTTAGTTTTCACAAATTGCCTTAGACTGAGAGAGAATGCTCAGTGTCCATCTAGTCTGTAAGCAACTACACAAGGCATGTCAGCTCCAGATTAATGATGCCTGTGCCTCCAGGAAGAAGGAAAGTATCCTCACCAAGGCAGCCAAGTTCAAGGAGGGTCATGTTAGAGTCCTCATCCCCCAGGGCATAATTAATGGCTTATAGTAATTTATAAGCCATATATAAAGAATAAAATTATTGCCAAATATCTCAGGAACTTTCTGGAAAGGGCAACCAGAAGCTTTATGTTGATATTTCTCAACCTGCATCAAAATCACCTTCCTGAGGAGTACTGACATCACTTTACAAAAGTGGATATAAGTTGCAAGGCCAGATTGCAAAAAAAAGGGGGGAAAAAAGATGGACATAGATGAATATATGACTCATAGGATCATAAGATACATGAGGGATATAATTGCACCGACCTTCAAGCTTTTAAGTAAATAAAAGTAATTTCCAAATAAGCTAAAGAGAGCAGACTAAGGGCATTATTGGGGAATTCTGACAAACTAAGGAAAATTAAACAAGAAGTAGCACTGAGAATTGAGTCAATTCATTACTTTAGCAATTGAGTTCATTTAGTACCTAAAGTTCAAAGACTTGGCAATAGAATTTTGCCATTTACTGTTTTTTACATATTTTATTTTATATTGTGGTTCTTTATATAAAACGTTTCTATCATTATTGAGAAGAACATGAAATGACAACCGTGTTAACCAAGTATTAGTATTATGTGCTTCAAAAAGTTATCTACACTAACTAACTTAGAGGCTGAGACACAGAGCTGCTATTATGGCAGGCTTACCATGCACTATGGCCTGAGACAGGCTCATTACATGTGTTATCTCTTTCCATCCTCATATCAACCTAATGAGATAAATCCTATTATTGCACATAAAGAAATAGCAGCTTGGAGAAGAAGTTAAGTGACTTGCCCAAAGTCACTTAGTAGATTAGTAGGAGCCAAAATTCACACAGGAGTGTTTGTCTCGAAAACGGTGCTCCTCACCACCACAGCAAAATGCTTCAAGTCCTTTGTAGGCCAGATTTTTTCCCCCTGATTTGGATCTCAGGAAAGATTAAAAGGTGGGCAGGAGCAGCCCAGTGGGTGCATAGAGAGCACATCAGCATATTCTTTATTTAAATACTGTTATCCATCTCTCCAGCTGCAGGCTCAGTTCCTGGAGAGGTTAGCTTCCTCTTCCTATGCAGGACCTGAATTGAAGGTTTTATGTGATTTACATATCCAGTGGAAGCACACCATAGGAATGCTTACTTTGGCCAAATGGAATAATGCCACTATTGTAGAGGACTGTGGGTGGAGTCCAAAGGTGTTATAGCATCAAAGCAGACACAGAGTTATCAAAGGCAATGTGGCTTGCAAAGACGTCATAGTAATGCAGTTCTGGCCTGGTAGGTATGCCTGTGAACAGGAACCCAGCTTCTCTGATACTCAGCATTCTGCAAAATGGGAAATGCCACCTTTCTCTGCAAATCTACTCTACCTCTACATTTCCCCAGGTCAGTATATGGCATCTTCTTGTCCCTAATCCAGAAACATGGTAATTATCATGATTTATCTTTCTCCCTAATCTATTCCAATGAAATTAATCATCAGTCCTGTGGACTGTTTTCCCAAAATATATGTAAATCATTTACTTCTCTATCTCTACTGTCACCACATAGTCCAAGCCACCAATATCTCTCCCTGGACCACTGTGAGAATCTCCTAATTGATTTCTTCCCTTTCACTCTTGCTTCCCTTTCACAGTCCATCCTCATTTAGTAACCAGAGCAATTCACTACAAGTATAAATTGGATCATTTCATTAACCTTAAAAGGCTTTTTTAAAAACCTTCAACGGCTTTCCACTACACTCAGAGCAAAGTGTTATATGCTTAAAATGGACTACAATACCTTACGTAATTTAGCCCCTTCTATCTCTTCTGACTCATTCAGTTCCCTTCTCTATGACCTTTCCCTTTTCACTCCAGCTACACTGGCTTTCTTTCACTTCCTCGGCCTGTTTACACATTTTATTCTTCCTTCCTGGGAATCTCACCCCCTTCCTTCTTCCCATGGCCAACTACATCCTTCTGGTTTCAAATTAAATGTCACTTCCTCAGGGGCATCTTTCCTGATCCTTAAAACCAAATAAGGTCCCTCTTAACACCTATATTTAACTTTCATAGTTTATAGTGAATATTAAGATTACATATGTGTCTGTGAGCATTTTGTTTTTAATGTCCATCTCTTCTACTAGAACATAACTTTGCTGTGTACCTGGTCATTAGCACAAGCTTTGTACATAACATTTGCTCAATAAATGTGGCCTGAACAAATAGGCTAATCAGGAGATAAAAAGCAAAAATATAAAAACATTAAAGTCAGAATTCAGCATATGTTATTTTTCGTCCTTCTGAAAGAATAGCTACTAAAACCTACTGTTTTGATTTGTCTCAGAAGAGAGAAAAAAATAAATATATATGTACATATATAAACACACATATACACACATGCCATGCATGGTTCTATTAACATGTGGTCCAAATGCTTATAAGAATCATAGTCTTGAAAGGAAAACACTTTGTTTTTTATAATTACTCAGGAAGTGGTTTGCCTAACTTTAACTCATGATAGTCTAATAATTTATATAAAACATTTATCAAATATATGCTAATATATGACTTTTATTTAAAATAGGTATAAATTCAAAATTATGAAGGAAGACAGCTATTTGTTGAAATCAGACAACAAAAGTTTTAGGTGTGGTGGATTTAACACAATTCAAAAATTCTGTAGGTCTTTTGTTTAGTTTTTTGTCTAGTATAAGGTAATGAAGTAAGTGCTCCTTTAATTTTAAACAAAAATTAACTGAGCAAACTGGTTCAGTTAGAATACAATTTCATACAATTAATCAGACATTTCATTCCTGTATTACAAATAGTATCTGACACTCTCTTGCTTCCAGGGGTGCCAGCAGGTGTCCTAGTTCTGTTTTCTAAACTGTTTGAACTTTCTACAAACTCATCTCCAAAGCTGAAAGGTCCTGGGAGTTCACCTAAGTCCTTTTCCCTGGTTTACAAATGAAACAGCCAAGGCACTGAGAAGTCATGTGGCTTAGCCAATGTGGCACAGTCAGCTGGACTGTGCAGCAAAAAATACACCTGAAACTTTCAATCACAAGATCCTCCACCTCTCTTTTAAGAAAATGTTCACAAATAGGAAAGTTAGGGTGTGAAAATATTTGGTATTTATTTAATGTCACGTATGGTATAAAGAGCAATTCTTGAGACTTGGGGAAGAATAAAGAGAGAACCAGAGTTCGGCATATGACTAATCTCTTTCCTGAAGCTGACTCAACTCCTGAACTCAGCAGAAACAGCTAAGCCTCCACAGAGTTCTCAGAGCTGCTCACATACTTCTGCAATAGGCATTATGCTTTAGCATTACATGTCAAATGAAAAACAAAAAAGCAATTTGGCTTCTGTGGTGACTGAATGTAATATAAATTAAATATGTGGGATGAATGAGTATTTATCTTTAAACATATAGGGCTGTTTTGGTTTTGCTCAGAAGGAAATACATATATATATAAACACACACACATATATATTTATCATGTATAATTCTATTAAAAATGTGGCCCAAGTGCTTATAAGTATCACAGTGGTTGTTATCTACCTTCCTGACAATGTCTGCAACATTTTCTTATAAATTGAATCTGTGCAATAAAAATTATCCAATACCAACAAACCAAGATCCTAAAGTTAGATTATAGAATGTTTAAAAATAAGTATTCTGCTGCTTTTAAAAACATGATATTAGCTAGATCAAGATGAATAAAAGGCAGGGGAGGAGCTCCAGGCCCCACCCTAGCACCCCGAACCAGCACAGCACAGGTGAGCCCGCTGGCGCCATCCAGCCAGTGGAACCACATGAGTCCATGTGGCCCCCTCACCTGCCACCTTGGACCCAGGCAGGGGGGGAGCTCCAGGCCTTGCTCCGGTGCCCTGAA